GCATGTCACCATATTCTAATTTGTTGAGATAGTGAATTGGTGGGGTTTTGTTAAATGTGAGCCAAAATCATCACAATTAAAAGAACCAAAGACTTAAACTACTTCAGTCTGTGTGCATTGAATTTATTTAATACACGAGTTTCACAATTTGAGTTGAATTACTGAAATAAATGAACTTTTTCACGACATTCTAATTTATTGAGATGCACCTGTATTCTATACTCAAAAACGAGATTCCCTCTCATCGCTTTGAGCGCAGCCATTTTTTATATCAGTACTGCAAGTGACACCGAAGTCCTGGGCTGAGCGAAGACCGCAAGACTCAAGGAAACGGTCACCTACACAGCCGCCACAGAAGTCACCTCAAATTGGGGTGAGGGGCATCTCATTCCCCCTATCGACAGCTAAAAATACTGCCACTTCTCTGTAAAGAGTGAACTGCTGTTGATTGGTCAGATTTGACACATTTATGGCAACTCATAACGGCAATGGAAATGACCAACTGTGGTATTTGCAGTGGCTTGTCCTTGGGAAGACCTCAACATATGCGATACCAGTAGGCAGAAATATACACATTCTCACATGTAACCATTTTTTAAATCATGTTACTGCATGTTATGAAGTATTACGAGCTGTCGAGTGTAGTGAAATCAGGGCTTCACTAAACACACGGTTGACAGGGGTGCTGTCGTCAAATACGGCTTGAGTGTGTGCGGTTTATGCAGGCATGCAGGAATATATGTGTGTGTTTGGAATGGATGTGTGTGAATGTGTGTTTATGTCTGTCCACTGTATATATGGGGCGAGCCTTTTTTTTCTGGCAAGGCCCTAGATTTTCATGATTTAGCTTGTCATAACTTGCATCAAGTTTTTTAGTTTGGAATTGTCTGCTTTTTAATGTATAGATCTGACATTTGCTTTGTAAATATCTAGCCAAAATGTTGTTTTAGACACATTAAAGGATGCCGGGGCAGCCCATGAATAATAAAGCTGCTGAGATATCTGATCATAACTGAGCCCTTGAGCATGACAGTATATCCCAGAGTGCTCTAAGGGAACTGTCCCAGCAATTTGTGTACTATAAGTCACTTCGGATGAAAAAAACCCCACTTGAAAAGTGATGACAACCCTATTTGCTGAGTCTGAAGAACAGATCAACCGATGATTGAGTATGTGTAAAGTAGCGCTGCAGAAAACCGCACAGTGTTCCACCTGAATTCACACACACATCAGCTCTTACTCTTTTAATGGCTCTGTTGTTTTCTTTTCTATTTGGCCAGGTAGTTTATGACTTTTTTTCTGTAGGGAAAATAAGAAAATGGATGCATCCCCAAAGAAGGAGGCCGGATTGCACTGCTGTAGGTGCAGAAGATTTTGAAGTGTTTTTGTCGGAGGGGGCAAAGACGAATGAAACGTAGTGTGTGAAATAATATTCTGGTTAATGTTAAAGCTACATGGAAAATAAAGCATGAAAGGCTGTGAAATGGTTTACTCTATAATATAATCGCAAAACAAATATTTTGTATATAAAAGGATTAAAATAAATGTTGGTTTCCGGATTTCACTACCATCTGTCTGTTTTTGATTTTATTCCTTATACTCAATAATCTTAATCAAAGAACATTAATTTAAATTAAAGAAAATATTATTTTTTGTTGCTAAAACTATTTTTTTTATGTCAAATCGACTTTTATTAAGATAATTCAAGCATTGGAAGCTTTTTGTTTTGTTTATATATATATATATATATATATATATATATATATTTTTTTTTTTATAATACTAAACCTTC